GACCTCACGATGCGATATGTATCACGATTATGGACCTCATGATACAATACGTATCACGGTTATGGACCTCATGATACAATACGTATCACGATTATGGACCTCATGATGCGATACATATCACGATTATGGATCTCACGATACAATATGTATCACGGTATGGACCTCATGATACGATACGTATCACGATTATGGACCTCACGATACGATACGTATCACGATTATGGATCTCACGATACAATATGTATCACGGTATGAACCTCATGATACGATACGTATCACGATTGTGGACCTCACAATACGATACGAATCACGATTATGGACCTCACAATACGATACATATCACGGTATGGACCTCATGATATGATACGTATCACGATTGTGGACCTCATGATACGATACGTATCACGATTATGGACCTCACGATGCAATATGTATCACGATTATGGGCCTCACGATACGATACGTATCACGGTATGGACCTCGCAATACGATGCGTATCACAGTATTTTTTCTTTCCAAATTTACGTAAAAAATAAAAACAAGTACATGATATATAATGGCGACACATCGCTTTATTAACCACAGCTATTGCATCTGGCATTTTTAATCCAGAAATGTTCCCATGAAAGCTTCATCGTTGGAAGCCATCTTTCCTCCTAGTCACATGAACTACAGACGAACATAACTCTGCAAGAAAATGGATGGTTAAAAAAATCTATACCATGTTTACTGAACTGTGGTACGGAACTTAAAGATACATTATGGGAGATTGGCAGTTATCACAGTATATCGTTGCAGCCCTAGTATAAAGGATTTTTACACATGTATTTAAGCCAGAAACCAATATTACACTGAAGCATGTATTAATCGGATTTGTCGATATTGTAATTTCTAGTTTTAAAAGTATATCTAGTTTGTTTATATTATTATTGGGTATTGCGACTGTAGTTACCATACGATACATATTGCGATTCAGGTGCTTCGATACGATTCATATCACGATTCATAACCAGGTCAATATTTACCTAGAAAACAACAGGATAAATGAATAATTGATATTTTTATTAGTCACTGAAACCTGGAAAGAAGATTGCAATCAAAATAAGGATCAAAATAATTTAAGGGTGTTTGTGTAACTGGATAATTTGTGGTGTGGATAATTAAGAGTGACAAATTACTTAATGAAGTGACAATAAAACTTAAAAATAGAATCTTAAATAATCGATTCAGCATCTATCGATTCAATACGTGAATCATGCAAAGGTGAATAATAATACATTGATTCAACGATATATCATGCCAGCACTGGTTTATATAAAAGCAGCCACAGTAGCTCATTGGGAATGACCCTGACTCGCTAAAGGATGTCCACCCATGTGCACGCTAAAGAACTCCAACAGTCCGAGTTTGGTGAAAAATACAGAAAAGTCATATGGAACACACCTGAAGGGTATACCTTCTCGTCAAGTGGTCATATTGTTTATCCTCAGCCATTTATGTGAATTCTTGTTGACAATTTGTATTAATTAATTAACTTAATCAATTGAAGGAGTCTTATCAGCTTAATTCCTGTTCACAACAAAAATTGGGTCCAAGAATTGACCTAATTATACTTGAGGGAATATATCTTTAATTACTTGGGTATTTTATGTTTAATTCAGACTTGACTGTTATTCTGTTATTGTAGATATTTTGTATTTATGTATATTATGTACATGTGATATCTAACAGGTTCTTAATAAATTATTATTATTCAATTTCCTGTTTTTTCTCCTCTGGTGGTGGTTTTTATAAAATAAAAGTAAACTGATGCACAATGCAATTGTAAGACGTCCGTTAAAAACTTGAAACTAAATATATACCATTATTGTGATTTGGTTGTGTTTGATTTATAATGAATTTTAAAGATGCATTATGAAAGATATAGAGAATGAACTGGTCGTTGTTGCTATAAACAGTTTTAAATTAGCTAATGAAAAATGAATATTGAAATTACTTAAGTCAGAGCAAAGTTATGAATGTTTGAAGTTATGACAAGAAATAGTCATGATTGGCAGATGGAACTCTGCCCACCATTCACATTCTCGATTGTCAAGTATTAATGCCATGATAATCTATGAAGTCTCGATTGTCAAGTACATGCCATGGTAATCTATGATGTCTCGATTGTCAAGTACTAATGCCATGATAATCTACGAAGTCTCGATTGTCAGTTACATGCCATGATAATCTATGAAGTCTCGATTGTGATTTAACTTGCTTATGTTTGATTTATAATGAATTTTAAAGATGCATTATTAAAGATATAGAGAATGTTGTTGCTATAACAATTCTAAATTAGATAATGAAAAATGAATTTTGAAAATTTCAGTCAAATTACTTAAGTCTGAGCAAAGTTATGAATGTTTGAAGTTTTGACAAGAAATAATCATGATTGGCAGATGGAAACTCTGCCCACCGTTTACATTCTCGATTGTCAAGCACTAATGCCATGATAATGTAAGAAGTCTCGATTGTCAAGTACATGCCATGATAATGTACGAAGTCTCGATTGTCAAGTACATGCCATGATAATCTATGAAGTCTTGATTGTCATGTACATGCCATGATAATCTATGAAGTCTCGATTGTCCGTCCTTTCTACATGCCATATTATTGTTAAATGCAGTTATGATGGGTATTGTCACCTAATCCACTCAATATCTAAAACATCCAACCTCATGGATTTTCTCCAAGTCCTCCAGTTTCCTCCCACTGCTAAAGACCCTTACGCGCAAGCGAATTATTGAAATAAAATTGAACCATGTGTTAGTCCAGAAATGACCTAGTTTGTGTCGAGTGGACGTTAAACCCCATTTCTCTCTTTCTCTCTAAACCATCTAGGGAGTTGATATAGGCTTGTAATATGGATATACATGTATGTCTACAATTTATATAACATTTGAAGCCAGACAATAAGCAAGTTTAGCTCTCACTTGGAGCTTGGTAAATAAAGGCACTCTCACTGATTTTTTAAATTAGATTATTCGACATTCTACCCACTCCTCCTATTTCTTATTAAACATTTGAACTAAGAAATAAACCAATGATGAAGTGTGAAATATTTCATCAATATTGTTTCTTTGTTTAGACGTGAACCAAAGAGCATAGAGTCAAATAAATTCTGTTCAATTGGACTGCATAAAAATAGAAAACAGAAAAAAAACGCTTCCTGTTTGTATAAGTTCATGGCTAAAAATGGTGGAAAAACGAAAGTAAACAACACAAGAAACCATTGTTAGTAATTGTAACAGTTAAAAATGGTGGAAGGATAATATTTGACAGTGGGTTGTTAGGTTTGGGGACTATTTCTATAGAAATAAATGAATTGTTTAAATGTTGAGCGAGGGTGTCAAGTATTAGCATTGTTTTCGTTCACGTCTGTCTGTACACAGCAACCAAGACGAGTTTATTCAGATTCCAAAATGTCCACAAGAACGATGCCTGTGTTGTTTTATTGGACTTGTACTAAAAGTAGAATCTTATATTCATCGTCTCACAGTCAGTAGTCAGGGTGGCAAGATGCCCTGTACTCATCTAATCAAAAAGTCACAACCCCGGAACTCACTTGGTTCATGGAGCCCTGCTGGCTCTGCGGGTCACTGTCAGAGCAAAATCCTCAATCTTTCGTTTGTTTCTAGTGGCATTCATTAAATCATATTTGTCCTTCATTTGAATTCGTTTATTTTCTCCCCCGCATTTGACATAAATTAGTGGCTGACATTTGGCTATAAGTATGATTGGTTGTGTATTCTGGTCTACGAATGTAGGTGTGGGTTCGTATCCCACTTGCGACACGATCAAATACTATCTTTCTAATACTGTCTTCAACCTCATCCAGATGGTAATTGACTTTATTTACAAATTTACACAAGATTATGAAATAATTAGAGCACAAAGTCTTTAACCTGAAATAGTGTCTCATAATATCACAGATACCACTTGTCAAAATACCCGATACCATAGTAGGTCTACTCTGTTCGGAACACCCGATACCATAGTATGCCTAGTCTGCCCGGAACACCTGATACCATAGTATGTCTACTCTTGTCTGAAACACCCGATACCATAGCATGTCTACTCTGTCTGGAACACCCGATACCATAGTATGTCTACTCTGTCCGGAACACCCGATACATAGTATGCCTACACTGTCCGGAACACCCGATACCATAGTATGCCTACTCTGTCTGGAACACCCGATACCATAGTATGTCTACACTGTCTGGAACACCCGATACCATAGTATGCCTACTCTGTCTGGAACACCCGATACCATAGTATGCCTACTCTGTTTGGAACACCCGATACCATAGTATGCCTACTCTTTCCAGATGACATATACCTCTCAGTTACAGGAGTTCTATAGTAAACTTTCTCTTTCTAGAACACCTCATACCACATCTCATTTTAAGAGACCATATAGTATGCTTACTCTCTCTAGAACACTCATAGCACTTCTCATTCGAGGCTTCCACATGGTATACTTACTCTTTCTAGAACACTTCTTGTCATAGGAGGAGTTTACATAGTAAGCTTTACTCATTCAGAAATTCACACAGCTAGAAATTTATATTTGTTGTACTGTTATTGTGCTGAGAGAGAAACTCCTTACTTGTGAAGATGTTGAACAGGATGTCGGAACTTGGCTCTGCGGAAAAAAAACTAACGACAACTAAAACTCTCTGTCAGTGATTATATTGGCTCGATAACTTAATAAACATGTGACTCCATTTGTTGACCAATCATATTTAAGAATTCTTGACAAGAAATATAACACGGTGTTGCTTTGACATCGTGTAAATTAGAATTTTTGCCTGAATTCTTTGTGTGTTGAATATGTTAACATCATTTTGTTGTATTTCGAAGTCATGTGATTTGTTATTCAACCAATCAAGTAATGGTAAATATGTTTAGTCGATTTTTTGATTTTAATTTTTATTGAAACATTAACTCCAGTCAGCTTTTGGAATTGAGATACCCGATAGTTGTTATGAAAGAATTCTTTCGTGGATATTATCGTGGATAAGGATTAATTCTAAGGATGCCATTTTGATATCTAATACTAATTGTGTGGTGTTTTGATTGTGCATGTGGTAATTTATATATTGAATTGGAAAGCTGTACATGTGAGCTATTATATTTGGGGATATACATGATTTGATGTAATAACCTCCGCTGGTATTTAGTTTTGTTCAAAATGGCAAGTTTCATGGTATTATCAGGCAGTCGTTTGAAAACAAAAAGCTTTGTGAATTTATTAGGCTGTCAATCGTGATTCCTCTCGTAACGCATGTGAGAATATTTGGGGATATACATGATTTGATGTAATACCCTCTGCGGGAATTGAATTTTGTTCAAAATGGCAAGCTTCATGGAATTATTAGGCAGTCGTTTGAAAAGAAAAAGCTTTGTCAATTTATTAGGCTGTTGATCGTGATTCCCCTCGTAACGCATGTTTTGTGTGGGTCACATTTATATATTTATTGGAAAGTTGGGGTCGTTGGCATATATTTAAGTACACAGGTGGTTATACATTATTTGATGTTAAAACCCCACAAAGGACACTTCAATCAGGACTTGTGATCAATAAACTTCAACAAAATCTTTCAAAATCATTCATGGCCCAATCTGATTAAAATACAGATCTATATTTCGTTTCATTTTTTATTCATTCGATGGCCTTTACTACATGAAGATCTGACCAGTTGTACTGGAAGGTCGTGCCATGGGTCGTACAAGTGGCTTTGACCCTATGACATCAGCGTTGACGTTTCTAGTGGTTTACCTACAGTTCCGTGCATGGCATGCCAAGAAGTTGCCGTCAAGAAGTCGCCGTAACAGATTGTTTCATTGGCTAATCCCTCACGCCAAATAACAAATATTCCAGATCCTAGTGTAGTAAAGACAAGTAAAACAAAATTTTGAACTGTAAAAAAACGGAACGAAATAGGATCTGTGTTTTAGTCAGATTGTTCATGGCCTGACCAGTTTTATTCAAGTAAAATATATGAGGAACCATAGTTTCTAGGTCCATGATGACTGTAAAGTCATTTGTGGAAATGCTTCCATCCTTTTATGGGGCTCCTGGGTGTTATGTTCAGCATTTACAAGCATGACTTTGACAGCTCTTGCTACAATTTAATCTGAGTAATGGTTAATTACAGTCTTGCTAATCAAGATTATACTAATGGTTAATTGCATGTCTGTCTTGCTTATCAAGACTTTATTATTGGTCGGGATATTTCAGTGAATAGCATACTTTATCATATTTATTAACTGGATAATGTTCATTTAAAATTCTTAGCCACATTTGCAATTTCCTTAGTCCATTTCTTTATGCAGTTTGTGAACAATTTTGGCAAATTTTAATTACTCGTATTGCTAGAAAATAATTACCCTTGTGCGCATCACTGAATTCTCAAATTTCAAATTTTATTGGTTGTCCCTGTGTATGCGGCAGGAAACAATCTTTCAGTTTGACATGTCAGCGCAAGCTAAAATATCATGTGATCTAGTCACATGATTAGTTGAGGCAATTCCATAACCATCGAATGCTTGTAATACATTGCTGTGATTTCAACAGCAGCATGGTTTCCTAACAATAACGACAAAAAATTGCCTGTGGCTTAAATATATAGAAAACCAAACATACTAGAAAAGGTTTGACAGTACTTAAAAACTGTCAAACATTTGACAGACATCTTTTATTTCTTGTCGTCTGGAATATTTAGAGAATTCGAACACAGAAATGGTAGTCGGAAATTGTGCAGCTTATAAGCGCAGTGTTTTAGCGCATGATTTCGAGACTCATGCAAAAAGTTTTGGAAGTTGTTCTTCTGGGCAGAAAAAAGAATCATTTGTGGTGCAGTGGCTGAGAAAAAATAACCAGTTTAAATTTAAAAAAAATATGGGTAAGTTGAAGATCTCTGAAAGTATTGTGCCTTTCTATTGGACATCATTTTCAATGTTCGGGGTGCGGAGGTTGATGGCTGAATAGTTAACGAGTGCGCGCTGTATAATAAGGTCTGTCATTGAGTCAACTGGCATGGTTTCGATTCCCAGGTTGTACGTGACAAGAAGTTGGGTCGCCTGTCCAATCTCGTTGGGTTTTTTTCCGGGTCCTCCGGTTTCCTCCCACTGGTAAAGACCCCTATGTGCAAGCGAATTATTGAAATAAAATTGAACCATGTGTTAGTCCCGAAATGACCTAGTTTGAGTCAAGTGGGTGTTAAAGCCCTTTTCTCTTTTTATCGCTCTCTCCATGTACAGGGATATATTGAACTACTTAACTGAACACTTGCATTCATGACCTAATATTGAAACAAAGCTCTGGTGCGGTGTGCTTGTCATTTTCCTTGATTTCCAGGATTATTTATTATGTGTTTGAATAATAACAGACGCTTCTTCACATTATGACAAGAAAGGCGTTGTGGCTCGGCGAATAAGACGATCGCTCACTAACCTGAAGGTCCCATGTTCAATCCTATTGTTGGCCGAGAAAGTTCATTATGATTTTCAGTGGATTAAGCAGTGAAAAATTAGATATTCTCCCAAAAATTCTCCCTCTGGATCAGCAACTTTTAACAAAGCATAAACCCCTTTAAATTGGGCATAGTGAAAGGGGGACAACTCTTGTTTTAAACCCCAAAACTTTCAAGATAATAGTTCAACATCAACTCATTTGGATTAAAAACTCAACCAAAAAAATCAAGCTATGTAATATAGGAAGTGCAGGAAGACTGTACCACAGACAAGACAAACTAAAATTACACTGCAAGAAATAAACAACAAATATCAAATCCTAGTGAATGGATCCAGGGCCAGCCATAGGCATCACTGTGCTTCACAGTCCTGGCCTGAAATGTCACCAACAAGTAATTTATATATTAATTGTTGGCTAGTTCATAAGGTTTTATTGATATTCTGTAAAAAGAAATGATGTACGGTTTAATATCCCATGTTTCTACACCAACTGGTCTGATAAATATGAGGATACACCATGCAGTGTGCTTTGAGGGAAATGTGGACTGAACAGTGGTCTTATTCTCATTTCAAGTTTGTTTTTTACATGCCCGCCATCAGAATGAATAGACACTGACTGTTCATTGCCAAGCCTTCTGCTGTGCACAAATGACAAGGGAAAAACTTAATGGTTAATGAAGATAGCATATGCCATGCAATGTGCTATGAAGGAAATTAGTAGATCCCTTGCAAAGTTACTCTTTTAGAACATTTGATGAATGTTCAGTGCAACAATTTATTTTTCTTGATCTTATTGAGAAATTATATTTTCAAATAATGAACTGAAATGGGGTTTAATGTCCTGCTGTTCTGCTCCTACTGGGCTAACGAAGACAGGCATTTGAGGGAAATTTTGCCTGGACAGTGGCTCTACTTTTATTTCGAATTCTAACTGTCAAGGGTTCTTTTACGTGCATGCCAATGTGTGCACGGGACCTTGGTTTTTTGTACCATCCAAATTACTATACATTGTCCCTTGTCAGGTCCTCGCTTCTATATCACTGACAAGCAGGAACCACGCCGGTAGATCCAGAGAGAGCCAATGTCTTACTCACTGAGCCACCGTGGTTCCATGATATTTTCAGATGAAAACTTATCCTTAATAGGGATAAAATAATAAAGTTTGTTTTCATGGATTTTGATTTGAACTTAACACAAAATAATGTCTGTATTTCCATAACCTTTTAAATTTTATAATAGTTACTTCATCAATAGTTAATTTACCAAAAAGTATATAACCATAAATAATCACATTTGTACAGTTTAAAGATACATTATGTAAGACTTAAATAAAGAGCTAGTCATTTTTGTAATAATAGTTCAAAAATAGATAATGCAAAATGAACATGCTGAAAATTTCATTCATATGTTAGTCCCGAAATAACCTAGTTTGAGTCTCTCTTATTTATATAGAAGAGTGCATATATATTATAGGTAGGGTCGCCTGTCCAATCTCGTAGCTTTTCTCTGGGTCCTCCTACTGCTGAAGACCCCTATGCCCGAGCAATTAATTAAAATAAAATTAAAACAAATGTTAGTCCCAAAATGACCTAGTTTGGGTGAATGGGCTCTAAACTTTTTCTCTTAGATATATAGAAGAGTGTATATACACATGTATATTATATAATATGTTGACTATATAGACAGAGTTTATTTTAAAACTTGCTGCTTTCACTGTTTTAAATCAATATACTCAACAGATGTTTTGGCCTTTCATCAGGCTGATATAAATAAATTCAATGATATAGGGATGATTTCATTGTTCCATCCAGGTTAATGATGATGTACTTGCTTCATGCAGAGTGCAGTGAGTAAAATTTTGCCTGGAGAGCAGAGTGCAGTGAGGAAAATTTTGTCTGGAAAGCTGCTCCCATGCCCTGCTCTTGCTGCAAATTTCAACAGTCAAGGGTTCTTCTACATGCACAAAATATATACATAACTTTTTGGTTTAGTCCCATCCGAAGGACTGTTCAATGCCAGGGTCTCCGTTTGGCACCACTGACAAGAGTAAACCTTGGGATTGAACCCATGACCTACATGTTAGCGAGACACTGCGACTCCATGTAGATTTAGACCATATCAAAATATTTATGGCCAAAGAGCACCATTGTAGCCAAGCTGTAAAGATTTTGGACCAGAATGTCCCTGGTTCTACAAGAACCACTGGTCACGAGCCAGGGTACATTAGGTGTTGCCTATATAGTCTTTTGATGGTACGAAAAAAGTCAAAACCTACATTCTCGGAAGTAAGATCTGGGCTCCAATTCCACAAAGCATTCTCAGACTTATTAAGTTAAGAATTAACACAAACACACAAAACTTTGCACATAGTTTCTTATTGATGTATTTGATACATTAAAACAAAAAAAGTTTTATAAAGGGCTATATTTTAGTTAAAATAAGGTGAACAATTTTGAGTAAATTCTTAACTTAAGTCTGAGAAAGCTTGATATGAAATTGGGGCCTTAACGTCATTCCTTTAATAAAACTTTCGCTTTCCTGTCACTCCCTACAAATCGTACTTTGATGAATTTAAATGGTGTTGGCCTGATATAGAGGTGTATTATATACTGTAATGATTGACACGAAACTGATGTTAAACATGTGTAGTTTATATATACTATAAGTAACATATATCTTCTATAGTATTACTCGTGATAATTACTGATCATTTATCACCATAATTATATACGACTACCTGGCCAGATTATATATACATTCCTGGTTATAATATAGCCGTTTAGTTCAAGGTGTTTGATTACCTTTAACGATACTAATAATATCTGTGAAGTTATTAATTATAGCTTTTCTTACATCTCCTTATAGGAGCCACGGTGATTAAGTGGGTAAGACGTTGGCTTGGTAGTCTGGAGGTCGTGTGTTCGATACTTACATTGGCCGAGAAAGTTCATCAGGATTTTCAGATGTTTTATCCCCTAGTCAGTGGTGCAGGAAGAAGAGTCTGACAAAGACAGCTGTCTAGTCATTCGGATTGGACAAAAAAACTAGATCCGGCATATACATTTATCGAGCATGTAAAAGATCCCTTGGCAGTTGGAATTCGATATAAGAGTAGGCCATAGTGCTGCTGCCCAGGCAAAATTTCCCTTATTGCACACTGTATGGCATATGGACGTCTTCATTAGCCCAGTCGGAGCAGAACAGTAGGACGTTAAACCCCATTTCATTTCACATTTCCTTATATGGACCTATTTATCAAGAGACCAAAGAACTGAAAATGAAATTGATTTGACCCAAAGTGATAACTATTTTAACACACACTACAAATTGAAGAGGTTATAGAGTTCAAGGTGTTGATTACCATTAACGATGTTGGAGATTCTTGTGAAGTTATAACACATCTTACATCTCCTGGGATGGACCTATCATGTGAAGTCGTTACTGTATACCACTACACATTCGTATACACACTACAAATTGAAGAGGATATAGTTCAAAGTGTTGATTATCACTAATGATGCTAATAATTTATTGAAGTTATAATGCTTACAGCTTTACCTTGCATCTACTCCGATCAACCTGAGATTACCTATTAGTTAATTGATATTATATACTTATATCTCTACCTGACCAGGTGAGAAGAGTACATGTATATAACCAACCAGGTAGTTTAAAGTATTTTATTTCTTCTATCATACCTTAATAATTTATATACAGCTGACAGGTTTACAGCATTTTATTAAGTCCATGCAAAGTTTAAGTATTACCCATTCAATTTATTAATTAAAATATACCTGACAAGGTGAACAGGAGACTATTTATCTATAGTTAGAGCTGTCTGAACTTCCAAACTGAGAAGTGGTATCAGATGTTCAAGTAAAATATACTGTATCCAGAATTAGTTGATAAGGTTTGGAAAATATTCAGTTCATAATTTGAGAAATTGTTATAATCACTTGCCAACTACACTACAATAATGTGCAAGTTGAATCTCTGAAAGTGATATCAGTCCAAAACTAGTTCAGTTACATACAATATAAATTTACAAGGTTCTAATGAAATAAAAATTTGTCGACATTAGACATCCACTACAGGTGATATCATAGTAGGGTGAATCCCAGATATTTCTAAATATTTATTATTTTCACAATTAACAGATTCGACCCAATAGTAAATGTTTTATATGTCATGCTAATCCGCACAGTGTTACTTAATTCAGTAAACAATATTTTAATGGATCCTAGTCCACCTTAATTACCCCCATTTGTATCTATTTTATATTGTCTTAAATATTTCTCTAATCACCTGTCTCCAATATTCTATGTTTTACACTATTAATTGATCTTATAATTTTAAAACGTCTGCGGACTAAAGTGTATTAGTTAACCATGATATTGTTTGTATAGATGTTGGATTATAGGATTAATGC